ACTGTTGTCACAATTGAAACTTGAAGAAAAATATTCTCAGCTCCCTGGAAACTATTTGCTATGAACACATACACATACGTACACACATGTCACTCATACAAAGTGATACAAAATTATGACAAATACGTGGTTATTTTCATTTTATAAAAATAAATACTTGTTTAATTATGTATTGAAGTCCTTACCCAGAAAATTTAATGCATACGAGAACTATTTCAGTAACTTAAAGGAAGAAAGCAAGATGTAATCATTACATTTGTAAAAACTTTAATAATAAATCATTCATCTGAATTTTTTTCAATCTTTTACAGAGAAACATTTGAAATATTTTATACTAATAAGATTCTAAGGAACAAAGTATGTATAGTAAATGTTATGACTGAGACATCTTCCAGACTTAGCAAAAAATGTTCAACTAGTAATGGCCATCTGATAAGTGGCATTTTATCTTGCAGTTGGGATTATATATTGATAGTGAATGCAATACACAAAGTAATATGTCAGATTCTATGCTAGTGAGAAAATAAAATTCAATTTCTATAACTTTATTCTTTTAATATATTTACATATAAATTTTCCACTGTCCACTTTGAACTTTTAAAAATATACATGATATTTATATTAAAGATTTCTTCATGGCTCATTTTCCTCTTTGAGAGCTCAAGCTCTGCATGTCAGCTATGTACCAAGCAGCTGTTGCTAGGATGTATCTGTTTCCATAGCAATAGATGAACTCTTCAGATGCATCTAGAATTCCTCCTTTTTTTGCTACTCTTGTATCTCTTGTCCGTATGTAAATTAGTGTCCAAATATGTAACTACGAAAGAATGATTTGAAGTGAAAATATCCTCCATTTAATGTCCATGTATGAAATAACTTAGAAAGTTCATGGAAAAGTGAAGTAGAAGTATGAATTTATTTTAGTACAAAGATATTTGAAATGAACGTGTAGTTTCTTCTTTTTTTCTCCCTTTTTAAAATTTTTTTAAAAATTTCCTAGAGAGCATGTGCACGTGCTGGAGAGAAAGAGAGAGAAAGTGAGAAAGCACCCTTGCCTGTGAGATGGCTATGCCATTTCTCCTTTCAGGATCTTGTGCATGCAAATATACATGCTCATCATGTTTTTCAAGCCACCAAACTCAGGACTCAAAAGGTAGAGTCAGCCATGAGGGATCCAGTTACCTTAACCACTATGCTGCCTGCTAGTCCTATAGTTTATTAGTTGTTACTTAGTTTATTAGTTATTATAGTTGTTACATGTTTTGTTTGTTTTTAGAGATATTCTTGCCATAGGGTATGAGTGCTCACTGGAGACACAGAGAGGGACAGAGAGACTGAAAGCAAGAAATCACCCCTCAGGAGGGATAGCCATGCCGCAATTCCTTCTCCTTCATTCTGGTCTTGAGAGTTTAGGCACACACGCCAGGTCAGGGACTGGAACTGCAGTCGACTACATGGGAATCAGTGACATAAACATTATACCATTTGCTGGTCCAGTCCCATAGTTTTTTTTTTTTAAAGAATTAATTTATTTTACTTTATTTATTTATTTTAAGTTGATCAAAGAGGGACAGAGCGAGAGCAAGAGAGAGAGAGAGGGAAAGTGAGAAAGCAAGCCTCCAGGTCTGTGACTCAAACCATAGTCAGCCATGTGGGAGTCCAGCACCTTAATCACCATGCCACCTGCCAGCCCCTGTAGTTTTTAAATTACACACATTTTGCCAAAATTTTCTGAAGTCCTCTCATGTCAAATGTTGTACATATTTATTTTTTCCCCTATAAGATCTACATACTTTCCCAAATTGTTTTAATTGGGCATACATTTTTAACCTGGGAATTAACAATATGCCAAGTTAATAAAAATAAGAAACATATTCTGCCAATGCGCTTTCAGATACAGCGATTAGTAGGACCCCAAAAATAATAATAATAGCAAAATGGACACAAATAGACTCTTTTCTCCTCCTCTTTCTCTTCATCCATCTCCTACTTCTTTTTTTGAAGCATCAATATGGAACCAAATATGTGTTACGAAAGTAATCAGCACTGTATTCTATATATATTTGAGCCAATCTCTTTTGGACTCAAGTCTGAATTTCAATCAGGTGTCAAAGCTGACCATTCAGAAATGTTTCTGGGCTTTCCAAAGTCCTAAAGACCTTACTGTGAAGTGTCACCAAAGTTTCTCTGGCTGTGCAGAGGACTGTGATGTCACCCCCACCCCCAATCTAAAATTGCCACTAAACATCTTCTTACTTCATAAATTACATTTAAAAATTTTGTTCAAGAACGTAAAAATTAACAGATTTGATAACGTCATTCATCCAACCAACAGAAGTTCCTGGAGAAATAGGAAGAGAAGCAACAGAGCTGCGCCTGACCACCTTCTGTCTCGCGAAACAATCCTTGACGGGGGCAAACCAGACTGAGAACATTGCAATATCTGAGAAAAACAAAAACAGTACAGATAGATGGAGATAGAAATCTCTACAAGTAACATCTAAGATGGCTCTTGGGAGCAAAACCTTACTTGGGGAACACAGGTATGACACCGGTTTCTTTGCATAGCTATACTTTCTGAGGAAAAAGAACATACTTTTCTGTTACATGTTGTGATTTAGATGCAGACTCTATTTTGTGAAAAAAGTATTCCTGCTTCCCTAACCATACATCTCCCCTAGAAATAAAGAAGAAAAAAAAACATGATGTTTTTAACCAAATCATGTATGCTTGCAATCAAATCATCGATGACAACAGAACATATTTTGATTAAGTATTAAATTCATTAGCAACTATATATTTTATTATTACTTCCAAGCAAAATAAATGATTTTATATTGGGCCTCCGGCATCACTATAACCTAAAGAGAAGAGAAATGGTAATGTTTTAAACTTACATCCCTGTTATCTTTTTTTAAAAGTCTATTTATTGTGCCACGGTCAACGATATTATACTGTATTCTTAAATATTTGTTAAGAGGATAGATCTCATCTTCCCTGTTATTATTTAAATGAAATAAAGTTTTAAAATCCATTTAGAGATACAAAATGATTTTTTATTCTATTTATATAACACGTCTGGAAAGAGGTTGAGAATTCGAATATTAGGGAGATCTTGTGATCTGGTTTCTCATCTATAATTTCTTCAGTGTTGCTTTTGTAAATGGAGGTAAAACAGTGAGTTGATTTTTTAAAAGTAGCTACTGCCTAATTTATAATCATTGTTTAATAATTTCCCCAAATTTGCATTACACATATTAAAATTAGCAAACTCTTTGGATTATGGCTTTGACTTTAAGATTGTTAATGGAGAGTTCAGGAAGTGACTTCTGGGCCTCCGTGGAGCAGGGCTGAGCTGGGACAGTTTAAAAACAGCTGGCGATCGTTTTTGCCAGTGCTTGGCACCCAGATGCTGCCTCGTGTCATGTCACTTTCTGCTTTGTCCTCATTACAACAACACAGCAGATGATTTTCAGTCCTGATTATTTTCCTCACTACGAATTCAGTACAGGAAACAGGACTATCTCCAACAGCCCTCTAATTCAATACATGTTCCTGATGACTGTTCTCGCAAATAATTTTATATTAAGTATATAGAGAGAACTGTTTAGAAATCTTCAAGTTATTTTTTCAAATTAAGGTTTCATTCTTTTACTCATGATTAATCAATCACTGAATAAAATGTTGAACCTACCACACTTGTTATTAGTATTTAGCAATAATTGCTATAATGCATGTATGACTGACTAATTATTGATGACTCAGAATAGAGCTTTTAATATCTTATTATTTATGGTAAATATTATATGAGATATTAAAAAGAAAAATATAAAGAGAGTTATCATTACATAGATGATTCAGAATTGGTTTTATAAAGCCTTGAAAGGTGTCTTCTTACTTACTGGAAGTGGCCTTAATAAAATAACAAGAGTTTTATGTGAATATGTATGGACGACAATAGGTACTGGTTAAAATAATGATGAAATATTCATATGATGGATGTAATTCAGCTTTAAAATCATAGTACAGAATATCCTTGGGTTGTATGTCTGTGGCTCAACCACAATAGTATGCAGATAGAAAATACTTTTATGATAAAACTAAAATGAAAAATAATATGAGTAAAAATTATGTAATTTAACAGCTGTATGTTTGTATAGCATTTACACTGCATAAGCTATTGTAAGTAATCTGTAGATGATTTAAAGTTTGCAGAAAGTTGTGCACAGGTTATATGCAAATACTGTCCCATTTTATGTAAGGAATTTTGATATCCACAGGGGACCCTGGATTCAATCTTCTATGGATACTAAAGGAAGAATGTATGTTTAACAACTTGTAAATGTACTTATAAAAAGATGATTACATTACAATCAATTTTTAGAAATACTTCAAAATGATAATAGTTATTTCTGGTAGTAAAGGAAGAGTATATGTTTAGCAACTTGTACATGTACTTATAAAATGTGAATAAAAAGATGATTACATTACAATCAATTTTTAGAAATACTTCAAAATGATAATAGTTATTTCTGGCAGTGATATTACTTTTTTCTTCATTTCACTTATTTTTAATGCTTTCTTTATTTTCTTATTTGATTCATTCAAATATTTATTGAGCAGCTATGACAATACAAAGGTGATTAAAACATGGTCAAAAGGTGAGGCAGAAGTATAAGTAATACAAAGCAAAGTGTAAGACTTACTGAACCACAGCAGTCCAAAGAAAGTGCTGTGGGGGAGAGATTGCTTCCAGCCTGGAGGGGGTGTGGGTGGTAAATAAGGGAAGGAGACTGAGATTAAAATAGAAGGCTTCAGTCTGTATTGTTGATGATACTCAGTATGGACTATATTTTTCTCCTTTTCCTCTCTCCCCATCTTTGGGCTTAATTTACCAGTAGCACCCAGGACTGTTCAATGCGCTTTTTCTATACTTGCTTGCATTTTTGCTTTAATGTCTTCTACAAAACTAGGTCCTTTTTGTGTTTTAGGAGTTTTTCCTATTTTTTGAATGATTCTTGACCTTTTTGATCTTGGTGTTGATAGTTTTGAGTCTTTTCCATTCTGGTTTGATTTTGGAGAATTTTTGCCAGGAGTATCTCGTATAGATTTCTTCACTGGAGCTTTTTCTTCTGTTTCATCATCTTCAAAATCATCATCTTCTTCATCATCATCATCTTCATCATCATCATCATCTTCATCAGCAGCAAGTTTTACTTTTTTCTGTGGAACCTTGCTACCACCTCCAGGGGCAGATCGCTTTCCAGATATACTTAAGAGTTTCCAATCTTCTTCCCCTTCTTCTTCTGACTCTTCATCTTTCTCCATAGCTACTAAGTGCTGTCCACTAATATGCACAGGCCCTGAACCACACTTCAAACTTACGACCACAGGTCGTCTTATTTCAAAGCCCCCAAGGGTAACCGTTGGCCTTACGGATATTTTCAGTGTTGCCAGTGTTACTTTAATTGGACTGCCTTCATAATTCATTGCCCATCCTTCAACAATGCTCAATTCATCCTTTGCACCAGCTGCTAAACTGACCGTTCTTAATGATAACTGGTGTTCATTTGCATCACTATCCACTTTAAAGTGATGATCTTTGTTGGCCTTTAGTTCACAACCGAAAAGATAGTTCTGGGTCCTCAGGGGGTTCATGTCCATGTCCACTGAATCTCCCACGGGGTGGTGGTATGCACTTGGGTGGGCAAGAAGGCAGATAGAAGAAAATGACTACGGCTCCTGAAAACAGCCGCGCAGGATGAAATCACTCCAGGGTTTTAATCTTTCTATACTGAACAAATGTGACATTTTCCAGTTATATTAAAATTATTTTTGTCAATAGAACTGAAATAATGAAATGAGTATCAGAAAGACTAAAGGTATACAACTACCAGTTTTACACAGTTAACAAAGAAAAGAAATTCCTCCAAAGATTTGACCCACCTTATGCCAGCCTCAGATTGTTATAGTGAGGACCCTATCTTGGCATCATATAAATAATATTTCAACTGATAAATTACAGAAAAACTCCCATGTAAACTTGATGTGTAAAATAATTTGTCCAAAAGAACCCTATGCTTTCAAAACTACAAAAATCAATTCTGAATCCTAAGTAAGAATAATAGAGACATTTGTGCGAACATGCCATTAAAACTACAACGCAAACTGCTTATTTTACCCTGAGTTTGATGAAAACCAGCCAACATGGAAGCTACTTACAAACATATGTTTAAAAACAAACCATATACATAATGGCTATGTCACTGGACTCCCATGTAGTCGACCACAGTTGGAGTCCCAGACCCAGTGGCTTAAACTCATATTGGGTGCATGTGTATGTGTGCCCAAGATCCTAAGAGCAAAATGGAGGAGATAGGGATTGAGACATGATCACCCCCCCCCCCGGGGGATGGTTTCTCGCTTTCTGTCTCTCTGTTTCTGTCTCCTGTCTTTCTGGAGAGTGCACATGCCCTATAGCAAAAATCTCCAAAAAAATTTTAAAAATAAAAATAAGATAAACAGAAAAACAAAAACATGCATGGGCGCAAATAGCCAACTAAATATGAGAACTACATTTCTGTTGGTGATTTGTCTTAAAAAATACTCCATGAGGGACAAGCAGGTAGCATGAAAGTTAAGGTTGCTAGATCCCACATGGCCAACTGAATGTTTTGAGTCTCAGACTCAGAGGCATAAAAATACACCAGGTGCATGAATATACAAAATAATGAAAGAATGGGGAAAAAAAGGATTGCAGCATGGCCACTCCTCATGGAGGGTGATTTCTCTCTCTCTCTCTCTCTCTCTCCAGCAAGTGCAAATGCTCTATAGCAAACAAACAAAATCCTCTGTAAGAACTGTTACAAAACACCTTCATAATTTTTAGGTCAACATAAATCCCAAAATATATAGCAGGTTTTCTTACCTTTATGTCCTTTGTTATAGCTATTTATTTTGCCAGAAAAAAAGTCCACCAACTTTGCCTAGAGCTAGGCTACCTGTTCTTTAAAGCATAACTCTGTTTTGTTGACTTCCATCATTTCCTAATATTTGAAATAAGTGTGGCTTATATAAGTACTAAATATCTGATGAATGAATGAGTAATTGAAATGATAGGGAACAACAGAAACACCATGCTCCTAGAACATCATGGATCTCTGAACTCTGAGTGCATGAGTGAATGCATGCTCAGAAAATATGCCCTTCCTGCTTGCAAACAACAGGAGGCCATTACATGGGTGTGCAATCTGATAAACGTGTTTTCTAAATTCCAAGGTGTTCTGTCCAACCTCTGGAGTCATTTAGCAATACCTCCTCCAACTGATACCAAAACCAACATGTTCCAGAAAGTCACCCTATTTTTCTGATTTTCTAAGAAATAACTTTCCTTCCTCCTTTTCCATAATAAATACAGAGGATGAAAGAGGCTTAGCAGGCACGTACCTGATACGGCCTCTCTGTCTCCCTCCTGACTCAGATCTCTGTGTCTCGAGTAGTTATTCCATTTGTTTCAAATGACTCTTTGCCGGACAAGAGTCACATTGAAATGCCAGTCCCATATGGCTTTCACCACAGGCAAAAGACTTCCAAGTATTTATAACACTGTATTAATATTTTTGATAGGCTTCTTAAAACACACTGCCTGAAACTACTATTTTGTTCTTAGATAGGTTGCTCCTCTGTAAGAGAAGCTACAGTGATAATTTTATTTACATTAATCACTGTATATCTTTGCAGAGTACAAAATGTTTTTTCCAAGAATGAATACAATGTATATTATTCCAGTCAAACATATTACCATATGCATTATCATAGCTTTCCATTTTTTTGTCTATGTTTTCTTTTGTTTTGTTTTCCCTGATTCCCTCCCTCCCTCTCCTCACTACCCATTCCCTTCTATACTCTCTCTAGTAGCTATGGTTACTCTCCCTGCTTTTATACCTTTAAATCTTTCTGTTTCTGCAAGAGAGTACTGAAGGTCAGTATGTATGTAAAATGGGAACATACAATGCCTCTCTTTCACAGTCTGGCTTGTTTTAGTTAGCATTAAATCTTCCATAGTCAACTACATTGTATCAAATGCAAGGATCTCATTGTTTTGCTGAGTAGTATTCTATAGTGTAGAAGTACCACATTTTTCCAAGCCACTCATCTGTTCTTGTACATGTGGGTTGGTTTCATGTCTTAGCAGTTGTGAATAACGCTGTGATAAACATGGATGTCAAGTGCTTTTTGGATTTAGTGTTTTTCTATCCTTTGGGTAGATGCTCAGGAGTGGAATTGTTATTCCATATGGTACTTGTAGGTTTTGGAGGAACCTCCATATTGTTCTCTGTGGTAGCTACGCTAATTTGCATTCCCAATAGTGTGGGAGAGTTCCTTTTTCATTGCAACCTCACCAGCACTCATCATTCTTTACTTTTTAAATATTAGCCACTCTGACTGGAGTTAGTCATATCTCATTCTGGTTTTGATTTGCATTTTGCTTATAAGAGATATTGAGCATTTTTCATATGTCTTTTGACTGTTCATATGTCTTCCTTGGAGAATTTGTTCAGCTCATTTTCTCATCTTTCAATTGGATTGTTTACATTTTTGTACATAAGCTGCTTGAGTTCCCTTTCTGGTTATCAGTCTCTTATTTGAGGACTGTATTTTCCCATTCTAAGGATTTTCTCTTTATTCTAATTATTGTTTATTTTACTGTGCAGAAGCTTATATCTTTAAATTTATTAAGAAATGTCCCTCAAGAAAAAAAGAATTTTAGAGAGGTCATTTTGTTTTGTTTTGTTTTGTTTTGTTTTGTTTTTGCTATAGGGCACATGCACTCACTGGAGAGACAGAATATGAGAAATCACAACCCCACCCCCAGGGGCACGGCCATGCCACAATTCCTTTTCCCTGGGACTTTGGGCATACATGCACACAAGCCCGGTGTGAGTTTCAAGCCTCTGGGTCTTTGTCTCAAACTGTAGCTGGCCATGTGGGAGTCTAGTGAAGTAACCATTATGTCATCTGCTGGTTCCAAAAGAACAAATAAATAAATAAATAAATAAGAAAATTGTAGGCAAAATAGACCAAAAAGGCAATGGAAATACAATAGAAAATAATGTTTTTAAATGTAGAAGATACGTTTCTGGAGTTTTGTCCAAAATCATATTTACTCATTATCACCAGTGAATTAGAAGAAGAAATAAAATACATAGCTAGTGTGTGAATAAAGAGAAATTTGATGGGAGTGTGAATAATTTGGATAACAGAATCTATACCAAAAGAAGAATATTTCAGGCTACAATAATTGGGAAAAATCTAACATGGTGAAGTTTAAGTAATTTTAGGGAATTATTTTTATGTCCAGACAAAACAATGATATAAGCCCTAATTCTGAATATTTTTGACAAAGCAGTAGCTTGTGTAAGATCAACTTAGTTGATTTTTCTAACATTAAAAATGAATATATGGGAACTGACAGGTGGCATAGTGGTTAAGGTTTTGAACTTCCCACATGGCTGACCATGGTTCAAGTCTTGAACCTGATGGCTTGCTTTCTCACTTTCTCTCTCTTATTG